AGTTATTGCAGTAGTGATCTTTAAGCTGTATTATTCATGTCTAAAAAAAGAAATACTCGACTAAATAGTAATTCCTTAACAGTACCTTTTATACTTTCTCAAACGATGTCTAAAGGATTATGTCAATATCTGAGTATATTCATCGCCAATTCATGGAAGCAAGAGTGTGTAACTTTCCTTACTTATAGAGATACTGCATGTTACTTATTGATGAATAAGTTATAATTAAATAGTTATGATGCATAGTATGCATGAATAGAAACAGGCACATAGGAATGAGAACATTTCTGTATTATATCGGGGCATATGTAGATGCACCCCCATTATTGCTTACTCCTGCTAAATTACCTCCTGAAGAATCTTTAATTTTATGAAGTGTTATAGTAATAACTATGGAATTATTAAATCTAAATGCAGAAGCATCTATAGAATTTTTGGGAATTTATAACTAAGGAAATAGTCGCAAAGGAAAAAGAAAAAAAGGAAAAACGAGCAGCCGGACTTCATTGAATAATTTACCAAACGATTATGTCGAGGTATGTGTCCCTCTATTTAGCTTTTAATTTTTTTCCTAAACAGTTCCTAAAAAATATTTTCTTCCAACAGGACAGGAAATAAAAATAACATAAAATAGAATAGAATAAACTAAAACGGAGTAAAGTACAATAAATCGAAAAACAATGGAACAGAATAGAGTAGGAAAAGAAAAATAAGGTAAAGTGAAATAACTTAATAACTAAATAACTGAAATAAAATGAATATGTCAGCACGATCTATTATAACTCTGGCGACTCCGCTCTCTGTTGAAACCTAGCATCATTCGGATAAAAATGTGGGTTTCAGCAAAGTTAACGAATGAGACATGTCACTATGCATGCGGATGAGTTTGCGCAATGGAAAATACTGCGCACCTTTCCTACAATTATGCATCTCTGTGAACATGGAGCCGCTTTCATTCCGTTCATTTAGTTAATTCCCTGCATTTCGTCTATTGTCTTCATTTCATTCATTTTGTTCATTTCCTTCCTTCTGTCACCATATGCAGGATACCCCTGGGGTTGAACTTCGCGATGTCCCAGTCGGCGGAATGCTAAAATCAGAGTTAGATATGGCCGACAAAGCAATATACGAACGGATGACTGAAGAAATTCCGATAGACTTGGCAGGAGATGAGGTTTTCAGAAGCTTCCCAAATGGGTGTGACGAATACAAAATAGAAGAAGGATGTGCCAACGTCAAACTTGGCAGAATCAAAAAAAGTATGAACTTATTTGCTAACGAATATAAAGAATTCACCACGGATAATTTTAAAGGCATCAGGAATAAAAGAGGAGTTTAAAGGAATATTTCACTCCTTCGGTGAAGAAGAGAACTACGATAACCATGATGGGATGTATCACAGGAAGGACAGTGACCATCACGATCGTCACGATGAGGAAGATAAAGATGAAAAGCATGAGGATGAACACAATCGGGATGAAGACAACAAATGTTATCAGAGAAGGAGTTATTACCCTTCTGCAGCACACGCCAATGAAGGAAGGGAAGAATTTGCCTAATACCACCACGAGGAACAGTCCCAAACCTATTAAAACCCCGAGGAATCCGAACAGAGATTTCCAGAGACATCAGGAAAACGTGTAAAATACAATTTCAGAAATGCGATGAAAGAAGCAAGCAACACTGACAGCAGCGAAGAAGATATGCACACTGGACCGTCCCCTAGGAGGTCGCAAACCCAAAGAAATTACCAGAATCGTAAAATGTCAAGGGTCCCACAGGGAGGGAAGTCTTCTGGAAAGACAGGGAGTGATTTGAGCGAGAAAAACGACTCATCCAATTTGATAAACAACTTTCTTGAAGACCTCGACAAAAGGATCACGAAGCAGCCACTTTGCTCCCCTCTTCTTCACGCGAAAGGCCATAGTCAATATTCTCAAAGAGAGAACTCCTCCTGTAAGAAATTAGAAGGCGCTACTTCCATATTAAGATTTTTCACCCCACTTTTGGCAATGCTTATATACAGGAAAGTAGTAATGGCCGTAGGTTCTTCGATGGCTTATTTGTTTTTTCTCGTTTCGTCCACTATCATAATCATTTACCTTGGACGTAAGTTACGAAAAGTTAAGAAGTCGATTAAAAACAAAT